TCAGTGGCTATATACCAGAAAGGAATTGAATCATGTTCTATAGGTCTATTTAAATACAGGTACAAAAATAGTTACGGACGCCGTTATGATGATACTAGTCACAACTGAGAATCCAATGATCCTGAATGTCAACCATCTTCTTGCATCGTACACATCAAACTCTCTCCTTCGCTTCTTTTTGATACTAACATCAGAGACTGATCCTGAAACTCCCGCACTATTAGCTCTTGAAGGAGGAGCACTTATTCCGTCACCGGACGCTAATTTGTTCAATGTTACTTCACTCCCCGATGGGGTCATACTATTTTCGCGGACTGGATTCTGACAATCGCTCAAGAATCGTATAATACTGAATCTCCTGGTTGCCTGCAAATATCCCAGACTACTCCAGAAAATTCCGACCGCGACAAAAATTCTGTTTGCCCGTCCTTGATGACTTAGTTCATTCCACACCAGAAATAAAACTGAACCACACCATGCAAGGAAGAAAACCAGATAGTAATAAACAATCCAGAAGGACTCAATCTTTATATTTTGAACGATGTAATGATGATAGCGTGGTACTGTAACTTGGTACATGTATGATTGTATGATATTGACGCTGGAAGTGAAGATTGAAGGATGTAGATCGACTAAAGAAAATGGTTCGGGCGAAGTGTTCTGGGTGTTCAAGTTACTCGCTTTAGAGGAAGAGGCAGATATTCGGTCCTTCCCCGCTAACATAATTTGTTCTTCACGCTTGTAATGTTCTTCCATTTTTCTAACTATAGTTTCCCATAATATGTCTCTCGATGCATGTATGCCAATGACTCTAGCAACCTGATTTGTCAATGGAGTATTCAAGAAGCTACTGATGTTCATTGGCGATGACTTAAGTAATGTCAGGATGCGATGATTCGGTTTATCTTGATCGGTTAAATGAAAACTCGGCAGCGTAGGTGCAAAATAAATAGTAAGAATGGAAATAACGAACGTGTAAAGCGTTTCGATGGTAAGTTGAGTATCTGGGAGCTTTGAGGCGGATGGAAGTGATGGCAAATTACGATTATGATGAGAAGCAAGAGCGGAATTTGTATCAGATAACCTGGATAAATCGTTGATAGGAAATTGAGGGAGCCGCAGTTTTGCCGATATCGGTGATTGGGGTAATCGAGGTGATGTCGCTTTCGGAGATTCTACCAACCGAGGTGATGAAGCTAGCTCTCCGCGGGGAGATCCACTATCTGTATTACCCTTGATTATTATATGAGGTCTCTCAATCATATCCTTTTCTTTGTTATATCTATAACTCATCCTCCTCTTCGCTTTAGTTACGCCTCTACCGACACTCTCATTACTCACAACTTCAATTTCGTCGGTTTGAACGTTTTTATGAAGAGGGTGGTCTACCTCGGCTTCAATTCGTATAAGCTCTGCAAACCGTTCGTACACTTCAACATAATCCCTGACAGCTTCTAAAAACTCTAAATTCGCAATCGATTCGTCTACATCTTTCAGAAAGATTCGAAACGATGTAAAGACGAAAGGGTGGGAATTGAGGTAGGAGAGGTTCGGCGAAGAAGGTTGTTGGATCGTACTATGTCGTTGCAGTGACTCCATTATAAGAATCTGCCATAGGTTTGGTATTGGTTGCAATACGAATTATCTATTTAGATGTAAAAAATGGCAGCAATTAAAGGAAATTAGCAACCACGGAGACATCCGCACGATCAGACTGCTCAAACGTAGCGCGTTGGTGACTGAACACCGCCCGTTTCGTTTTAAATTCACCAGAAATATACTCAAATATGCTTCCAACTCAGTCTTAGACGGTATAATCATAGTTTGCTGAATTAGTCTTGGATGATATTAGGTGCGATGAAAAGAATATTGCCTTTTGTGAGAAGAAGAGACTGCGAAAACGGACAATGGAAAGGCAGCATGCAGCCAGGGCAATAATAATGAGCAAACCCTGTACCTTCGACCCATACGGTGACGACACTAGATCGATTGTAAGAGAGGCATTTACATATTTATGTTCTCATCGTAGTACTCTATTTTTAAAATGTCGCCTCGGGCCTGCATTGGACATCCAGCTGAAAGCAGGTTTTAAAGTGTTAGTCTGTAATGCTGAAAATTATGATCTATCAGCTTTTAGAGGTCTTGCTATAATGTTATTTATTTGTGTTATTTATATCTACATATTGCCTAGAAGTAATCCAGTACACCAAGATTAAGTACAGTCGATGAGTTCTGTGTAGCCTCCACGGATAGACTTCGTAGATTATGTTGGAATTGTTCCTGCTTGCTGAATTCTCGACTAAGCAGCTCTAATTTACTTTCCAGCGACTCAATTTTAAACATTAATTGATTATTTTGCTGTTGCAGAATAGATACTTTAATGGCCATATCGTCTGCCTCGGGTTTCTTCGCCTCGCTATCCCCTCTACGCTTAATCTGTCCCAGCAAATCCGGTCGATTAAATAAAAAGCAGGGATGCGAAAATTCACGGCTATCTGCTTCTACTCGACTTCGTTTAACATTCTGAAAGGTTTTGATAACTTTTGTAAAGCCGTAACTAAATCCCAATATATATTTAGCCTTATGCGACCGAAGCAATTTGAAGATAAAAACTGAAAGTTATGCAACTTACAAATTTAATTGCCGCAGAAAACTACTGAAATTACTATGGTTGAAATGTTGCGGTAGAATCTCTTGGGAAAAGGTGGCGATGTCATTCACAACGAATGACGTTCCACATCCACTCCAGTTTATTAAATGATTGCATGTTTCGTCGTTAACCATTCTAAGATCCAGAAATATGTTAGTCATCCGACCATGTAATTCAGAATTTCTATACACGACCATGTGTACAAACCTAAATAATTTGTGAACGAATTTATTGGAGCTCTTGGAAGGCTCAGTAGGAGAGACGGGGTATTCAAAAAAAGCCTCCATACTGGATTGACCAGAAACACTGGGAGATCGGCTAGGGCGTGAAGATGAAGCACTTGTGATTGAAGGGCTTCTCGATTTTGGGAAGATTAAGTTTTCAGATATTGGTGAATAGTCTAAGCTGCCACTCAAAAGGTAGTTGCCGGTGCCGGGTGTATTGACTTGTAAGAAGTCATTCGTTTGAAAATAATTTAGTTCTTGCATCTTAAAATTCAGCCGATAAAAGTAAGGTTATGAGTGATATGATGTAAGATTCTGTGCTTTATATAGCAGGTTGTATGATGGCGAAGTCGAAAATTGAGAGTTTAAGCTGGCTTAACAGGGCTAATGCATGTCAACACAATAACCTCTGGCTAATGCCCACTTCCGACTACAATGCCAGCAAGCCAGCTTCGTCGATACTTTTGACATTATTGCTCGTAAACAATAGATCGCGTTTTAAGTAACACTAAATGCTTATTGCCGTAGTTTAATATGTTTGGGCTTAATTCATTTATTTCTATGTATCATTCGAGGTGGTCATCCTGTAGCGCCCACAGTACACAATGCTGTAACGGTTGAGAAATAACCTTGACAACGAATTCAAAACTGAGCCTAGATTTGGAATTTTTAAATGCTTTGTGGCACTCTCTCCTCGTGAGTCGTGATGCTCTTTAAGTTACTTTGTTTTGAGGTTTATCCTCTTCCTTGCCTATTTTGAAGGGGCATTATGTGGCGCTCATTTAAACCAAGGTTTTAATTCATGATAACTATAACTTGTGATCAATACTCAACTTGCTTATTTTGGAGCGGCATTCTTCCTCCAAATGAGTAATTTATATATTATGATATCATTTCCCGGCTGGTTGAGAATAAGGTCAAATTTTCTGAAAGAACATTTCAATTTTCTTGAATATCCTTGCCAGAATGTGCATGGCCATCTCGAGAATAGTGAATCAGCTGTAACAATATGAGTTTAATTAAGGCATCTTCAACTATACACAATGTGGCACTGGCGAGGATTAGCTAGTGGTCCAGAATGAATTCTTTGGCTTTTCTGTATTTATGATAACGCTGTTCAATTATTGACAGCCAAAGGAGTACTAACCATTGCTGGAATATTTAGGACATCCATTGGCATTTTAATTTATGATGTGGATGAATTCAATATTTGCTGGACACCGAGAGGAAGTGACGACGTATATTGAGGTCAGATTGAACCAATGAAGCATCCTACTAGCAACGACAATCACGGTACCATCCAACAATGAATTGGATAAGGTTTTCAACGGCGGTTACTTAGGAATAATCGCATTGTCATTACCGGGACTAGGCCTCCTGAACCAAAATTTATACCTCAAAAATTGGTGGTCACCGTACATATTGTCGTATAATGCGGGAAGTTGCTTACTCAGGGGACAAAATCGCAGTCTCTCCACTGGGCAACGAAAATCTAACTCACGAAGCTATTTGTCTTGCTCAAAGATCCGATTCAATACGTGAATTCGTTATAAGAGTGTGGAAACCTTCCGAAATGTGCCATTTTGATCTCTGCGAAACCAATCGCGGTATTCGGTAAATGCAAAGAAATTATATTGATAAATTCCTCCAGGTAGCCACCTCCCGATTGGTCCAGAGGTTTAGGATCTCACGCTCTCAAAATCACTACCCATTTGAGTACCGTGATGGCCCGGGTTCGAATCCCGGATCGGGAATTCATAAGTACAATGATGGGAATCTAAAATTTTGCACTTTTTAGTAGCAGACTGATGTGTGAGGCCAAATATAAATGTAAGTGAAATTTTCAGTCGGCTATCTGAATCGGTATGGTGCTTAATGGTTAACTCTTCATTTGGAACTGCAGTTGAAGCAAAAGATCATCGACTGCTACTGAGTTCCAATCAAACACACATCGTAGTTTTTTCGACACAGAGAGTGAAATCACGGATTGTTAAGTGTCAATTCCTCATGCAAATCTGGGAGAAATCGACGAACATTACAACGCGACAAACGGAAACGCCGGGCTTATATAAACCTCGATCACATACTCATTATAAACTTAATACATAGCCCAACGCTCGACATAATCCCGATTGGTCCAGAGGTTTAGGATCTCACGCTCTCAAAATCACTACCCATTTGAGTACCGTGATGGCCCGGGTTCGAATCCCGGATCGGGAAAAACGTTTGTCGGGGGCTACAGAAAATCTTGTCTTTTGGATTATCGAATGGGTGTTGTGTGTCGAATCAAGTTGCTCAGTGTCTGAATTTTGCTGAAATTCTCAGTTTGATGAGCTGGTCCATATCGTCTTTCACCATCCATCTTTACGCGAAGAGGAGGACCTGAGATTCCTGTCAGTCCACCGCTTGATTGATGGTAAACCCAATTTTGTAACTATGAGATAAATCATCACTAGAAATCTCTCGCTTTCTCATAGAATACGGATCTGAAAGATTTGGCTGTCATATCCAGGTCTGTCGGTACTGACAACTTTGTTGACCCTTATTACAAAAATACAGTAGTGCAGAAATTGCTTTGAAGATTGCAGGTCTCCGGTGTCTTGTGCATATATAATTTTCATTGTTTGTCTTCATCTGGTCGCCGGGCATTTAGCAATTTACAGTCCGAGTTTATATTCATTCTACAAAACCAATTAATAAAATAACAGATTTATACACTAGCCATTCCAATATGCATGATATTACAAAAAATAGGGTACAACGTTCCACGTCCAATCTACGAGTAAGTCCCACTGGATGAATACGGAGGGGAGAGGAAAAATGGTATGTGGATTCCCTGTACAGTGGGTACCAAAAACGGAATACGGAGAAACATGGTAGGGGAGTTGGGAGTGATACAGTTCGTAAATAGGAAGTCCGACTATCCATCGCAAATTGTCGTCTATAACACCCGACAGAGGAGTGTCGTACCATCTCACAACATTCGCAACTCGACGTTTCCTGACTCACCGCATGGTGTCCATACTATTACTATCATTATCAAATCGACCGCGATGATGACTACTTTCTTCTCCTGTATCGTACTCGGCAGATCGTTTACGATGTAGAAGCCGTTGTACATCATCTGGGTTTTGTTGCAACTGCTGTTGTTGGAACTGATGACGGGCGAGAAAGATAGGTTCATACTCCTGAATTTCAGAGAATACAGCAACCGTGAAAAAGAGAGTATTAGAAGTTAGACCGCTACTTCAATGGAAGGAATAGTTCTAAACATTCGAATCGGAGAAAAGAAGAGGAGAAATTTGATGGGTCGAAGAATATTTCAATTCTTACCTTCAGCTGGACTTTGAATCCGTCGTTTGGGTTCATACAAAATCTCTTGTTCTGAACATAAACGAAGGAGGTCTGAAAATCCCAACCGCAATGCTCCATAACATAGGCAATCATAAATGTAGGACTCCTGCTGATACCGTCCATACAGAAGACCAAAACTTTTCCACCGTTCTGAACTGCTTCATCAATAAACTTTTTACTCTGAGGAAATAAAGATATGACGTTTTGAGTTATATTGTCGGTAACGACTAATTCATTATAGATAAATTTATCCGGAAATGCCTTCTTAATCAGTCTTTCAGCTGCCGAACGTATCAAAACAAGATGTGTGATTCCGGTGGATTGAAGAAGTTGGAGGTTCTTGGAGGCGGAGTATGGGCCGAGATATATATTTGGAAGGATTTCTTGCATGTCTCGGCGCATTTCATACTTCCAATCTAGAGGGTCGACTACAGTAGGGTGTGACGGAAAAGGTACGATGGGTGTTGAATTGGAAATTCCCGGTGAAGTCGGCTGGTTGGAGATGTCGAAATTGTTTGGTTGATTCGCCATCATGATTGAAGAGGACGAATGATGGATTCGAACAGGATTATCAGGATGTGCAGGGACGGTGAGTGTGGGTAAGAGTGAATGGAGAATGCGAGTGTATTTTCTGAATTGAATGACTGATGTCGAAAGAGAGTGATGTCTTTGTCTGTGTAACTTGGAGGCAACAGTCAATTTACCGCCGGAAGTGGATGACTTTCAGAGACGCCTTTCCGAGAGAATTACTCGCACACAGTCTCGCTTGATGGCATCGCTCAGCAAGATTTATTAGCACTGTTGTCCATTTATCATGTCAGCACTACGTTACATGCAATGCATTTCAACTCTAACAAGCTATTTGGTCTCTGAGCAGTCATTGACGGATGTGGCTTGCTCTCCTTGTCTGTTGGGATCTATTTTGTTTGAACATCTGAGCATCGCTTAAGTCATGTATTGGATACTGAAGTATAGTGAATACAAGCATAAAGCAGAATGATATCAACATGAATAAAATAAATGACCTCTTTTCCCAACTTCAATATTCCTGGTTTTTTCGTCAGATGTTGTAAACGCTAGGTCCCTTCCTGTCCGCCGTGTCAGGCCTCACGTCCTAAGGCACACCTATTACCTTATACCTCAACAATTCGTTCATTTCCCCAACGTCTTCCATTTTTAACGTATCCATATTCTTCTGCCTGAGTCGCATCCTCCGTAATTGTAAAGTATGGACGCCTCAGCTGCTTTACAGTCCTTCAATGTCGAAAACAATATCAAAACCTTGTCGGCCGAAGATTCCGATAAACTGTACAAGTACGATCAGCAAGAACAAACTCAGATATTAAATGAGAGGCCCTGGACAAAAGAGTAAGATTCCATCCTGCTGTTTAGTCCTCATTGTTGTGTGATCGGTATAAATTTCGGGGTCTGGCTGTCGAGGCTGCGTTCATCGAGTACTTTAGTTTTAAATATGATTCCGGCGACTTCAATAGCGCTGAAGACAGTTTTTTCAACACTCGAAAAAGCTAATGTATCACATTTGTTTCTAGTCCTCATTACTTTAAACATGTCAAAATTTCTGCTGTAGCCTTGATTAAAATGGTGAGTTGTACACGACATTTGCTCGTAATCAGTAGGATTCAATTTACTTAATTACCACACTCGCTTGCGGTAATCTCATACTGTAGGTCACACATGCAAGATCTGGAGGAGCAATTGAAGTCATGGGCCTCATGCAGGGTAAAATACAAGGCGATACAATGATTGTGATGGATGCCTTTGCTCTACCTGTTGAAGGAACGGAAACAAGAGTGAACGCACATCAAGAAGCTTATGAATACATGGTTCAGTTCCAAGAAACGATCAAGAAGGTCTGTATCTATCATGCAAGTTTGACATCGTAGAAGGCATAATGAAACCAACCTGTACGAAATGCTCTTATGTTCAGACACATCGTCCCGAGAACGCTATAGGATGGTATCACTCACATCCTGGATACGGCTGCTGGCTGTCTGGAATCGATGTCACTACCCAGATGACAAATCAGCAATACCAGGAACCGTTTTTGGCCGTTGTCGTACGTGATCCTTCTCCTGTTTCCCTTACTTTATTATTGTGCTCTAACCCATTGGATATCGAAAATCCTACTGATTGATTCTCAACAGATTGATCCTAATCGTACCATATCAGCTGGAAAAGTTGAAATTGGCGCCTTTAGAACATACCCGAAAGATTACACTCCTCCTGATGCCCCCGAGTCCGAGTACCAGTCTATCCCGCTATCAAAAATTGAAGATTTTGGAGTCCATGCGAAACGATATTATCAACTTGATGTCTCGATATTCAAATCCAATCTGGATACAAAAATAATTGAGCTCCTGTGGAATAAGTACTGGGTTGAAACTCTAGGCGGAAGTTTATTGAGCGCGGTAAGATTTCCACCTTATGAGAAAGTCAGCGTAAATCATCCTGCTGGTTACTGACGAGATGCCAATGTTATAGAACTACGAATATACAACAAACGCTATTCTTGATCTTGCGGAAAAATTAGATAGAGCAGAAACTCCTATCTCTCAAGCCCGATATTCATTCTCCACGTATGGTGACAAAGACAAAGAAAAGAAAAAAGAAGATAACCCATTGACGAAAGCTGAGCGTGATAGGTCCGTCATTTATTTCATCGTCTATTACAACGTTTCTTTATCAAATTTAATTTTCTGCTGACAAACCTGCCTTCAACTCCTTTCTCTTTGGTCCTCACTTTTCCTATTCGTACTTCTTGTGTTCGTATTGGATATTGGAAATGACTAGTAAAAAAGTTGCAATGGAAACGTCAAACGGTCTTGTTTCACAAATCCTCAAAAATTACGTTTTCAATTCTACTGCTTAATTGCCCTTACGGTTCTACTTCCTGCTGCCATAATAACAATATAGTGTGACCTGGGCCAAGGGTATAACATGTACATAATGTTTGAGAATAATGCAGGAGTGGGGCGACGATGAGAAATGGAAATGACGAGAAACAGAATAAAAGCTGAAACAAATCAGATTAGATCAATGACTGTAAGGGCATTTATTGTGCTCTCTTTCGCAAACTTATTTTTGCATATTATAGTAGTGCGAAACACTTGCTCTTAACCTACATCTATGGGAAATATGCTTCCATTGCGATAATTTAAATCCTCAAATATTCAATAGATACGCAGAAATTGGTGATTTGTGTCATCTACAAACTACCATTACATTAGCACTCTAACCTAATTCCTATGTTATACCTGCCTACATACGCTCAATATTCCCAATCGCCAAATCTACTGACTTACTTCCTTTGATTCCGTATATTCCTGAACTCTTCTTTCCCATGTATCAATGGCCCCTTGCCATATTCCATTGACATCATTTTCTTTCAAAAACTGAACCACCTCTCTACCGGCTTGTTCTTCACCTGTGACAATCAACGCCCAACCGAGGTTCAATCCAACTCGGAATCCGTCTCTTTTTAAATCAAATTCTTGGAACAAATCAATCACTGTATTTGGTGAAGACAAGTCAAACAAAATATACGACGACATATTCGCCAGTAACGAGTGGATAGTCGGTCGCGGAGACACGGCTCTAAACGTAGACGATGATGGAAACTCATTTGGAATTGATTTAAGAATGTCTTTGAATTCATGAATTTTAGATTCTGGTATTGCTAAATTCGATGAAACATTCAACAATGATTCATGAAGTAACATTAACCTAGGTAGATAGGGGTCCTGTCGATCCTGCCCATTTTGAACTTTAACTGCCCGATTGATCACATCTTTTAATACATTATTCCACAATTTGTCAGAACCTATCAGCAAGTTTAAGGTAAATAC